TTTCTTTGCAGGCCAGGGTGGGCCTGAGCACCTACAGATTTTTTCTGGAGGGAGCACAGACTATATTGGCCAGCCCCTGTCCTTGTCTGGTGGCAGACAGCAGAACATCTGCCTGCCTGAAGCATTTCATGGAGGTGTTTGCCAGGTAACATCCAAGAGCAAAAGTGATGAGTGGCTCCTTGCTGGTGTGGGCTGGCATCAGTCTTGATATAGTTGCCCACCTCTTTGAGAAAGGGTGAGTGCTGGTGAGTGGCAGTGGAGAAAGGTCTCTGCCCTCCTGCCTTCACCTTTCCTACTGGGCTGTGTGTGTAGGTTCCCAAAAACATGGCCAGCCCCTTGCTTTGAAGCATCAGGTCTCTGAGTAACAGGACGATTTGGTCCCTAGATCACCCTCGGGACTTCGTCCTTTTGTAGCTGATACCAAATGGCCAGTTCTGTTACATATATGGATACTCCTGGAAAAAGTAATGAACAATATGTGTGAATTGAGGCAGGGACCAAAACTAAGTTGAAGAGTAGAAACAGAAAAACCACTCATCAGCAATTGGAAAGAATTGAATACCTGCCTTCTCCTACCAGCAGAAAAACATAGGAAAATCAGTTTCTCGACTCACATTCAGTCAAAGATAGGATTATGCTGGATCAGAGATTTTTATGCTTCAAATGGTGAGGAAGGAGAGGGTATAGTGAGATCAGATTGGGTGGATGATGGAAAGAAAAGGAAAGCAAAACTGCTACAATGATTTCCATTTTCAGCCTTCTCACATCTATCAAGTCTTCTGTTCCACAGGTTTGTTGATGACAGATGAGAGGTACCAGGATGAATCAATTGCTTCTACACAGCAATGTACGTGAGCATGACAGTAAGGTCTAATCTGCTTGTGAGCCAGTGACAAAAGACAGAGCTGCACATTCTAGCTATGAGCAGCCTACAGTTTTGCCTGAAAAAAAAAGATATATTTTTTATATTAACTTGAGAACTTAGCTCTCTTGAAGTCCTATCAGCACAGATGCAGAGCGTGCCATTCTTTACTGCAACATAGCCAAAGTAAACTATTCCAGTGCCATATCAACTTGTGCGAAGGGAGTGGAAAATACTCACATGGAGTGGAAAATGCTCTGACACTGTAGGTTTACCCAGTGCAGATGGCTTGTTGCCAGGCAGTAAAGGAGGAATCGACTCTCACACAGAAGCAGAACATATCCTAAAGGTAGCAAACAAACAGAACACAACTTGGAAATAAGCAGCCTACAGACTGTGCTGATCCAAGAAAGAGTGGATGTGGAAAGTGATTCTTTCAAGTAAACATGATTTCTGTACCTGGTGGTGTAACAGACCAGCAACAATGTCAGGTTTTGAAGCAGCAGCCCCCCAGAGAATACTGCAGCCTTTTAACTCTTCACCAATATATTTAACTTCCTCAAAGGCAATGCAAACACCAGAGCACATGTTCCATTTTGTCCCATGATAACATCAACAACAACACAGGGGAGCATATCCATGCAAAACCTTTATTTGGAGAATGTCTCCTCTTGACAGTGCCCCTCCAGTTTACACATAGGCCCAGAAACACAGTACTTGCATTGTGCAGAAAAAAATTACAAAAATATTCTTAAAACACGTTCATTTTCTGATATCATGTAAATACTATTGTAATTGCTTACCCCATTTCCTCTCTTTATCCTTTTAAATCAGCCCTTGGGCCAGTTTGAGCAAAAAACCATGGCAATGACATAATATTAATTTTGGAGATAGGCCACAGTAACTTGAAAGCCAGTGTGGAGAATTATCTGCATTGTAGAAGGACAAAGACACAAGCAGACTGATGTACTGTCTAGCACACATATCTCCTTGTTTTCCTTCCAGGTTAGGAATGGCTTTTAGAATGGTTCTGATTATTTTCTGTGATGGTCCAGAGCTTGAAAGAAGGCTGAGATTACTGCTGCTGAGGGTGGAAAGTTCCTCCTTCATTTTATAATCTGTATGTTATTGAGGTTTCTCTTGGCTGGGAAATCTCATTTTTATTTCTAATCTCAGCCATGTGTTGGTCAATTGTGACTTATGTTCCCTTCACCCTCTCCCTGCTGTGCAGCTCTGCAAGCCATATTGCAAACATATTTTTCAGCATGGGTGGGAGGTAGTATTGTGGTTTTGGGCTTTGCTATAGATATCAGAATTTCCCTTTTTCTTTGTTTGAAATATTTTTTCTTTAAAAATAGAGTTGATGGTAAACAGCTTTCATTTAGTTCCCAGGGGGAGGTGCAGCGAACATTTTCATGCAAGTTTGAGTAAGAATTAAATCACAATTCCCCAACTTTTCTAATTAATTCAGTGATACAGTCATCATCTCATGAAATCTTCAGCCTGATACAACATTGCGATGATGCATAAGAATAGAGGTTTAAACTTTGTAGACTCCACTTGCAGTTCAATCTCACTCCAGTAAATTAGGAGTGCAGCATCATGGCTTATTGCCAGTTGAGAGAAATTAGGGTATTGTCTGATCCTCAACGAAGAAAATACCAGTGTCCTCCAAAAGGACAGCTTTGCAGAAAGTATTCAAAAGGCTGACAAGCTGTCAATCCTTTCCATTCCATTTAACATGGGTTTGTCTCTCTTCTTTGACCTGATGGCTCCTGCCAAGTAAAGATTCATTTTTTACATGTACTTGCCTTTATCAGATCTTGAGCCTGGACAGAAGAACTCACTTTGCAATTGAAAGAACTTCTGCCATTTAAAATGCAAGAACATTTCTCGATCACTCCACTATTTTTTTCCTTTGAAAAGGGGCAATGAAGAAAATACCAATATTTTAACCCAAAGAGAAGGTCAGATGCTATAACATTCAGCTGGCTGTCCATGTGGCAAAGGCAACAGGATATCAGCCCAAGATAATAATATTGATTTTTGATATTAAACAAACACGTATTTTACTAAATTCCAATGTTTAAATAAGCTTGATGGGACTGGTTATTTTCTAAGGGTGGCAGATTAATTCAGTCATTCTTTACCACTTTCAGCATATGGTGTCCTTCACATTTTTCAAGATTTATTGAATGTTTCAGCACACAGACTATTTGCTCCCAACATCAAAGGCCGAATCAAGGGAACCTGATAGGTTTGATAGGCAATACAGTGGTTTGCAGTAAAGATTAACCTGCTGTCAAATGTGTGGTATGAAATACAACAGTCCTTATGCCTAGGGAGTTAGTAGCTCACAAGCGATGCTTAGTCAGGCATACCACTGGGCATTTCAGTTACTGATGATCTTGAGTCATTGGAAGACATTTCCTTCCTTTGCCTTCCCCATCGTACCTTGTTCAGCTCTGATGGCAGCAGGTTTTGAAACACAAACTTTTGAGCTCTTCTCAGACCACACTTCTGCCTAGTTCAAAACACCTCTGGTGAGGAGGCTGCAGTGGGGTCTGAAAACAATGATCCCTCTTGGAAGCATACTCCTAGTTCATGTTCAAGGAACTGCAGGAGGGAGCACTTCCCTCTTCTGAACCAAAAACCCTGTCAGCCTGGGCACCTCCACCTGCTGCACCCCAGTCAGTTCACGGCTGGGGAGAGAAGGCCTTGGACAGGTCAACAGCCCTGAAGCTCATGGGCGACTTCCTTCTCAGACAGAAGAGCCTGAAAGTTTGTCTTCATTGTTTATCTATCTTCCTAGCACCTTAGCACTGCCACCAGTTTCTGTGGCTGTCATTAAGCCCTTAAGCTGATTGTTCATTCTGGATTTCAACATGGAAGGAGATGCAGGTCCTATTTAGCTATCCCTCCCCTGAGGAGTCTCCCCATTAAACGTTTTTAAAATGCGTAAACCAGGCCATTTTCTTGCATGAATTTCTATGAATGCACTTGAAACCAGTGCCTTCGCATGCAAGCCTTTTGATAACCTGTCATCTAGCCCCAGCTTCCCCTGCTACAGCAGTACAACAGCACAAGCTGGATACAAAAAACCTTGTAGCAATGTGATTTCTGAGGTTCTAGCTCTGCCTTTCCTCCTGAGAATACAGGTAAATACAGAGTTCTTCAATGCTGCTCTGCAGTCACAAGACTGTTGCAGGACGCACGGGAAACAGCCTGCCACATCCTCCTCTGCATTACCGGCCTTGAGCTCCTGCCCTTGCCATTACCAACCCCAGCTGGTTTTTAATTCTATCTGATATAAAAAGAGCTTTTTGTTGAATGCCATCTGCAACTGGAAAAAGGTTTCTGGAAAGGTGTTCAGCTGTGCTGCCATCCAGCCCATTCTGATAGTTGTCATTTTAATTATGGCAGAGGTACTGTAGAAACACTCAGGCACAGTTATTCATAAAACTATACTCCATGTATTTCTCAGTTGCCTGTATCATAGTATAATATGAAACAACAAATGCTGTTAGAGGAATACACCATTTTTAAAGCAGTACTGACTCCAGTCTTTCATCCACTGACCAGTCACATACTAATGCAGCTTACTAACTTCCTCGGGTTTAATTTCTCATTCTTGGCCAATAAAATCTTCCCTGAAATATTGCTGCTTTCTATTTCTTCTTTCTTCTTCTTCTTCTTTTTTTTTTTTTTTTAAGATCTTGGCTGTTTATGTACATTGGAAAAGTAATTACTTGACATGAGGGATGACAGGCACGTTGCAGAATCAGTTAACCCCCTCTCCATCAGAACATACAATGCACGGAAAAATCTTGTTGCACCAAGAAATGAACTGAAGGTAGGCCGACTGGTTATATGGGACAATTTACAGTTCTCCAGAAACCAAGGACAAATTAAAACTTTCAATTTATTGCTAGGCATCACAGATTTACTAATAAGTGGGATGATGAAAGTTGAAGCAGTTCCTTCTCAGAATTAGTTTTTTTTTTTATGGGCAGAATTAGGGAGGAGGCTAGGGTGGACAAAAAGTGCTTTGTATCTATTTACTAGTGCCTAGATGCAGAAGATGGTGATGAAGAAAGGTGTTTGTCAACAACAACAACACACACAAGAGTTAATAAAATAAATTATAGACCACATTTTCTTTTCAAACAAGCTTTAAATAGTCCATATGTAACAGAATCATGTGTTACAGACAAGAAATTCTTTCTGCCAAAACACAGGATGAGTGTTTTTCCCCATCGTTCTTTCAAAATTACAAACTTAGGAAAAATATTTCAAGAAACTAGATTTTTAAAAATAAAATTATGCTAAAAAAACAGAAAAGGCCAGTAAAATAGACCGGTGAAGTACATGAACAAGTCATTAGAAGAATGTCAGGACACGGGTACTTACAAAAAAACCACACAGGAGTGGACATAAAGGCTTTAAAGATACACATACTATGCAGGCTAATTTAGAAGGAGCAGAATGCATAGGCTTTATTGTAGCTTCTGTAATTCATGCATTTGTGTGTGCAGATAAAATACACTTAAAGCCATGTATTTAAATGCCATCAAGAAGACACCTGAACTCTCCCCAGCAACATCAATTGACTTCAGGGAAGAATTAAACGCAGTTCTGTTTATTTTTTATACACTGGCCCAATTCAAACCCATAATCTGTAAGAAAGAGAATAAAGTAAAAGAAAGAAACCAGGTATTTTGTCTGAGCCACTCAGAGACACTGGGACTGAGATCCAAACCCATGTTTTCATCATGGCTGCCAAGGAATATAATGGCAGCAACACCAGCCCAGACAGTTCTCAGCTGTGTTTCAGAAAGTGGTTCCAAGAATGATCCAAAGGTTGAGCGGGGAAAAAACACTGTAGTACATACATACATAGATGGCTCTTTTTAGAACAAAATAAGGTGGCACTACTGCGTATGTGGCAATATGGAGTGTGCATTAAGATATACAAGTGAAATCTGCTTGGGGCACCTTCACTCAGAGGGGTAGGTCTTAAAATATAACAATAATAATAATACTTCTTTATACTTGCCACTTGTTAGCAATTGTTTACATCGTAGAAAAATAGATAGTATTTTGTAACAAGAAATATAGTTACTTTGTTAAAATGGGCTATTTTAAACCAGCTACTATTCTTTCATATAAAGAATTTCTAAACAGCAAAACAAAAATAGGTAATACTGAGTGCAAAACAGCCAGTGGTATACTTTGCATTGGTTTGAAACACTAGTTGCCAGCTACTATAATTACACATTCTGTACACTGTACTACAAAAGTCTTCCATCTTTTAGAAGCTTTGGGGTTTTTGTTTTTCTTCTCCCTAGGTGGCAAGCAAGTATTTAATCTGAGTAAATTCAAACTCTGGAAGTTAGAAATAATTTCACAATTGGTCTTCGCTATCATTCTCTCACATTCCTTCTCTGACGTCGTGCAGCAGCACTTTCTACTTATGGCCAAAAATCCCTTAAGTTAAACAAAGTTTAGACTGTAGATACTTAGAAGTTTAGCTTATAAATTCACATTCTTTAAAAAATCATTTCACTAATCTCCCACGTTTACATTTACACCAAAGAGAAAGCTCAAAAGCCTCACTTCATGCATTTCATTGTCCCCACTGAAGACTGAAATAGAGTTCAGATAAAAACCCATTTCCAACAGTTGGAATTAAGTTTTAATGCTACAAAGCCAGATGGTTCCAATGTATAAGTCAGATTTTGTTGTGGTCTCCGCAACAGGTTCAGATACAAATAGCTAATTCCTAGTGGCAGTGGTAAAGGCATTATCAGTACACCATGAACACCACAAATGGAGGCAATTTCCAAGCATCAAAGAACAAAAAAAACAAACAAAGAGCACCCAGAAAAGAAAGAAAATACATCAGTGAAACATTCTTAGTTGAACAGAAGTCTCTCTATTCTCTTCATTCATCTCACACCTTTTCAACTTTGGTGGGGTCATATGTATCTGAAAAAAAACCAAGAAAATATTGTTAATAATGTATCGGGAAATCTATTCAATGTTGCTAGCTGTGGAAATGAGACATCTTTTCCCTAGTTTTTATTTTAGAAAAGAAGCTAAAACTGGACTTACAGCCTTAAAGATACATGCTACATTCCTGACCCAAATTCTATATGCAGTCAAGTGTAATTTGGGAATAACTTGGATCAAATGCATGGAGATAGAATTTGGAAAGCCTTGGGTGGGTAGGAACATGTGCACTGAATGCTAAGTGACTACTTCTAGTTTTCAGATGCTTTGAAAAGGAGAGAAGACTTAACATTTGCCCCCCCCCCCCCCCCCCCGCCTTGTACTGAACGCTAAGGACAAGTAAATGTTTTAAGCATCCTAGCAGGGTGTTTAAGACTGGCTGAAGAAGTGATGATGCCATCCAACCATCAGGGTCTTTTCATTCAATTGCAAATCCTTGGTTTCAGATTAATTCAGCAGAATACAGGAAAGCACAGCTGTGTTGCATCACTATGGCTAGTCTGTCTCACTTCAGTCTGCAGAACTGCAGCTCACGTTTTGAACATTATTCACTAAAGCACTTTACTGGCTTACTAGCACTGCTCTTCATTTTCAGCCCACTGCTTATCAGTTCACAGGACAGACCATATGTTGTTTTTCTTTTCCTGAATCACCAAACATACTCTTTTATCAGATTTTTTTAATTGGATTTATCCCAACATTGGCCACGAAGTGAGCAGACAGGAGCCCTTTCCTTCACCTTTGTGACTTTGGGTAAGGATTGCACTGAACAGGCTTTGCCTTGTGAGATATGCCCTCCGCCATCATGCATGCATCTGACTTATCCTGGGCTCCTGGGGATGCACAGTCACAGCATGGAGGAAGGGCCTGGACAAACCAGCACTGCAGCCCATGCTACCATGTGCTACTTGCTGCTTAGGCAATTTGGGCATCTGTGTGAACCTTAAATGTCCCTCTTGTAGGCTGTACTCCCACAGCACTTGTGTTTAAACAGTTGAGCGTGAAAATAGTTGCACAAATAAATATCACACTTTGGAGTAAAACAGTAACCCTCAGGACTTCTATATTGATGTGAGTGAATGTCTTCATTCAAACAAGCATAAAGATCCTCAGAGGGAAACTTCTACTCCAGTGTGCAACTGTCCATCTGCAGCATCCAGACTCACATCAAGGTGGGGCTGGCTAAGGAAGAACTTCTGGATTTGGCCCCAGTGCGTGGATTCCTATTGCAGGATCCTTTATCACTGCTCTTGCCTACTCTCTTCAAATTGCTAGGTCAGTCAAGAAAGGAGTCTGTGCCAGCAACATCGTGTTTTCAGAACTGCTTATCACTATAAAGCCTCCTCTGGCATTTCCGAACTTCAAAAACAGATGCCATGTGAATGCAAAAAAAAAAAAAAAAATCAAGGAGAAAATGTTTTCGAGGGTTAGTGCACTCCAGGATAACGCTGCATCTTTCTAAGCGTAATGAACTGATTGTGTGGGAAGATGTCTCTAAAGCAGTAACATCTTTTTCACTGTAAATATTTTGCCATCTAAACTGCTAGAATTGTTCTGAGTGAGGTTGACCTAACAATAAAAATGGATTTACATCCAGAAACCTGATTTTCCTAAGGTCAGATGAATTCACACTAATAAAACTCTCCACAAAACTGCAGGTGCTCACTGTTTTGGGGAGTCAGGGGGGCGGGGGGGGAGACAATCAGGCCACAAGACATGGGAGTCTCTGTGTGGCTCAGTTTATTCCTTGGAAGCTGACCCATGCCCTCAGCACCTAAACCAAGGACAGAAATGGGCCAGGCTACGGCCCAGGCTCACTTCAAGGGAGACAAACATTGGAGTTCTAGCACTGAACAGAAATGTTTATTCAACATTTGGTTAAGCTCATTTTAAATGCTTTGTACAGCAACAAAGCCAGATCAGCAGCCTCATGGAAGCAGTCTTCAAACAGCAAAGGAGAAAATATATCCACTGCATTTGGAAAAATTTGGTGATGTTCTTCTAATGGCAGTATTTGCATAGTAAGATGAGCTTCTTGCACTGAGTTTCATCAGAGCTTTTACTCTGAGATGACTGTTCATATGCCAAGCTGCATTATACGTGTGAAAGCCTGTTTCTGTTAAGGGCTCTAGCCTCTATGATGGGCCCATTCTGCAATTATAAGAGTAGCATCACCCTACCTCACTCCAAATAGTATGGCCTTTGGCAATACTCTTTAAAAGCTATGAATACAAAGGTTTTCAACAAGAAACCTGGAGAGGGGCTTTCTCCATGGGCATGTAGTGATAGGACAAGGGGGAATGGCTTTAACCTGAAAGAGGGTATATTCAGATTAGATATTAGGAAGAAGCTCTTCACTATAAGGGTGGTGAGACCCTGAAACAGGTTGCCCAGAGAAGCTGTGGCTGCCTGATCCCTTGCAGTGTTCAAGGCCAGGTTGGACAGGGCTTTGAGCAACCTGGTCTAGTGAAGGTGTCCCTACCTGTGGAAGGGGGGTTTGAACTAGCTGATCTTTCCAACCCTGACTATTCTATGATTCTATGATTCTATGATCTTGAAGGTCCCTTCCAACCCAAACCATTCTGATTCTATGCTTAATTCTCATTTTGTCTGTCAATGGTACCAGTAAGCTAATCTGGAAGTTGGAGTGAGAGTTAACAGAGGAAGACACAATATTAGGCCTTTCTACAAACATGAATCTTCAGTCGTGCCTCATTAAGGTGAGGTGAAGATCCTGTGACCATCAACAATTCAGGGTCTCTTTGGATGGGAAGAGACCAGTGGTGTAGATGCTTTCCCCTCCCATGTGAGTGTGTGCTACCCTGTGGTACTGGATGTGTGCAACAGGAAGGGACATCCACCACGCTTATCCAGGAATGGGGAGGGCTGTTACGTCTGTGAGGGAACTGCTGCAACAGGAACACACTGCAGAATACAAGCCTGGCATTGTCAGCAAGAGGGATAAATTTAGACCTAATTTACTGCAGAATAAATCTCCAATAAACACACATTATCTGTTTTGATACATCCCTGAAGTCATGTCACCATAGCAGTTATTTTCTTCACTCCAGCAGAAACCCCAAGGGAGAAAAGCATAAGAAATTCATGTAGGGCATACTAGACCTGATGGGTACAAGAAAGCTGAATTAGCCTGTTTGGAAAATCTGCTCTTGAGAAATACAGTTCAGAACAGAAAGAGACATAGAGCTGTGAGACAGAGAAAGAAGACAAGAAGGGAAAGGCTGCAAGACTGCAGGAGTCAATACTTAGAACTAATACAAATATTTCTCTTCAGATGGAAATACATAAATCCACTTTAAAGTATGCTCTATTTAGTTTCTGTCCCTCTGTGCTAGAAGACTGTGAACAGATTTATATCGGTGAAGTTTAATGAATAACCTGTGCAGATTTCAAGGGAAAGTGTTAGCTGTTACAGAGAGGACAGTAAAAGGAAGGAGGAGATTAATATTCATTTAACAACCTTCACACCATACATTTGCTCACTCCAATTAATTTAATGGACTAGACAGGTGGCTTGGGAGATTTATCCTTTAACACAGATCTATGGCAACAACTGATTTTCAGTGTTCAACACAAGGCCATATGAAAACCATTTTGAAGACAGAACAGCTCATACACTTTGGGGATGCATATGGACTACACAAGTTTCTATACTTTTGAGAGATGAGGAACACACACCAACCCCCCCCCACAAAAAAAAAACAAAACACAAAAGGTGTTCACTGAGAAGGTCAACTTTCCATTTGACCTGGGGATAACAATTATTCCCAACATCTGAGCTGGAAAATATTCATGAGAGAGAATTTTCCAGGCCTCTCAATGCAGCCATTTCCCAGGGGCTTCACAGAAGAACATCAGACTTTTATTTTTAGTTTCTTCTGAACTCTGATACAGTACGTGTCTACTTAAGAGAGGGAAAAAATGGGTATTCAAGGAGAGGCTATGATTAAATCATCACATTCCCAAACACTGGCACTAGAGTGACTATCTTTCAACTCTGCTGTTTGAAGCTGGCTGTTCTCTGAAACAATTAGACAGAGATAAGACCTCAGAGGGCGCTCCAGTCTCTGTGAATGAGTTTCAGTATCACAAGTGAGTTTTAAAGTACCTTTTCCTAAAATGCGGTCAGAGAACACTCATCTCTTCCACAGGGAGAGCAAAGGTGTGACAACCAGATGGGGGTAGTACCACCTACAGCCTGTAACTATTTGAGCAGCATTATGTGGGCATAAGCAAATCGATCATGCCCATTACATAAGAAAACAGCATGCACCCGGATCTCCTGTAATAGGGTCTTACCTAAAGAAAAATCTTTGTTGATCTTCTTCTTGTCCATTCCACCTAAATATCCGTTTTCACTGAGAGAGATGACACGCTTGGAAACAGCCCCTGAGCTTGCCAGTTTGCTTCCTCTTTCCTCTTGTACCCTCGACAGCTTCTCCTCATCCACCTCCTCTCCTGAGTCTGCGCTCTTAATGCTCAGGCGTCTCATCCGGGACACAGAGTCAACTTCTTTCATTCGTACTAAGCGATCCATGGCAGTCCGGCTAGGTGGAGAAGTGAGCTTGCCTTGGAGTGTCTCTATCACTTTTGAAGTGCTTCTCACTCTCTTTTCTGAATGTGGATACACAGTTGACTTGCAAACCAAGTTTTGGTCCTCACCTTGGCTGGGACTCGCAGGTTGTTCAAGAACTTGCTCTGTTACCTGTGGTTTAGCACTGGTTTCCTGGTGAGCAGTCTTGCATTCATCAGGGTATAAAGATCGGCCTCCTACTCTGACAAAAAGAGCACTTTCTGTCCAGCCACACTTTCGTCTGCCTTCGTAAGAACCCTCTTTTTTTTTTCCTTTGTCACTTACTGCGCTCCCCACTGATGACCCAAAGTCCTGGGCACCATTTGCAGGGCTAGTGCTTGGGTGGGGCTCAAGGCGGTCATCTGGAAGGAGAGACTCCACTGCTATATCTATACCTAAAATCCTTGCAGCTCTTGCCTGCAATGACTCATTCACAGGGATTTCCACTGCATTTGCATTTGAAGAGTAATCGGAACTGTTAGCACCGGGTCCTGGGGCTACATCAAGTCCCACTGACCTCAAATCTGGCTCTGAGCGTCCATGGTTCCTCTTCGTTAGTGACAAGCATACTACCGAGCCTCTCTCTAATACTGCATCATTTGTGGGAGTTGCACCTTTGCTCAGCTTAACAAAGTCTAGGTAATTTTGGTCTTCACTCATAGCCTGCAAGACAGGGTTATTGAAAGGATTACTGTGACATGAACTGCTTGGGCTACTGGACAAAACTCTCTGGAGAGGCTCCATGTCAACTGGCTGCTTGCTTTTTATGTTCTTGGCTTCCCCCATCCTCATTTCTGTTATCAGACTTCCATCTGCTGGTCTGACTCCTTCACTGCTCCCTCCTGGCTGCAAAGAGCCTTGAGAACCAATGCTGCCTGGCTCGCCACCATGCTCCGTCCCCACACTCCAACTTTCAGACTTACTTTTAACTCTTCCTGACTTAAATACAGGCCCTTCTGGCACAACCATTTCCGATTTCCCACTGTGTTTTGGCTCCTGGTTCAACTTCTCATTTCTGGAGGCCCTCCTTTGCCTAAGGGCACCTGCCTGCAGGGAAGCCACAGCACTTTCCAAATCTTCTTCACTGCTTGTGCTCTCCTCCTGCTCTTGCAGCTCCTTGTTAAAACTTTCTAGCTCACTTATTGCATCCCAGGGACGGCGACTTACAGGCTTCAACAGGAACTGACCAAACAGCTCTTTACTGTTGCAGGGAGCACCTGGTTCTCCCTTAATTACATCTCCCTTGGAGAGAAGGCCAGTTTCCCTCTCCTGGGCAGACATGGGCTGGCTCCGGAGCACTTTTGGGGAGGGGGCATGAAGGACTGAGGTGGCAGTCCTGGAAAATGCACTGTTGCTAGACTGGCTGAGGTACATCTGACCCTTCATACCGTAAGTGCTCTGCCTGCAGCTTCTCTCATCAGAAGGTAACTCTGTCTGGTTTGACCCTATCGTGGATAGCGTACAACCTAGAAGCTTTGGAGACAGTGGTTTGTTACTACTGGGCTGCTCAGGCTCTGTACCATGGAAAAATTGCGGGCTTTTAGGTTCTTCTGTGAAACTGGTCTGTGTCTGCTGGTCTTTGTACTGATCACCTGGCCAGGAGCCAGAGTATTTGAGCTCTCTGTGTTTTGCAGGCTGAATAAATCTGAGGTCATTCATTTGTTTGAACTCTTCTGGTCTCCACAGCTCTTGTTTTTGTAACTCATTTTTATTGGTCATGCTTCCTGTAAGCGCTTGTAACTCCAAGTCCGTTGAAGACATACTTAAGAGACTTTGTTCTTGCAAAGCCCCATTGTTATCAAACCCATTCTTACCAGGGCTCTGGGTTATGTTGTTGTTCCTATCTGTATCTGGCAGATTGGATTCTGATTTAACTGGGATAGATACCAAACAAAATATAGTTTCATTCATTTTTTTCTTTGAACTTTTTTTACTCTGCATCCCAGTTCCAGGTTCAAACTTTTTCACTTTTGTAACAGTCTCACAGGTGCTGTCCATATGTGAATTTCTTACAGAAAGTTTGCCTTTTGTGTACTCCACACTGGCTTCGTTACAGGGGCTGTGATTAGTTGTGCTACAACCGTCTCTTTGGTCCAGCAAGGCACAGTTTTCCTGATCTTGGATGGACGGTGCCAACCATCTGTTGCTATGGGTGGAGCTGATGGAAGTTCTTTCGCCCTTTGCAGAATTGGACAAGTTTGATGCATCCAGAAAGGCACTGTTGTACTGTACTTCAAGATCTCTCTCTTGCAAAGCACCAGAACTGGGACTACGTGCATTTTCAGTGTATTTAGTGTTGTCCTGAAGACTTTCAGGTGGTGCAATTTTAATATGTCGTATCCGAGGATCATCAAAGGGAATATACTGAACAGAACGCAGGTAGTCAGCAGAGCGCCGTACATGGCTTTGCTTCCCGTGAGGAAGATGGTTGTCTTTGCAAGGGTCAACCCCTTCTTCAGAAGTATTCATGGCTGGTCGTTGGCAGGGGACAACCCGCTCTGCAGGACCCTGCTGATTGCTGCTGGCATATGTGTCTGTGTTAGGCACTTCACTGAGAGGATGCGGGGTCACGTTTTGGTGAGGTGGGGATTTGTAAGAAGGAGGAGGTACATAGACTGGGGGCTCCAAACCAGAGTCATGAATGCAAGCCTCTTGCCTTGGCTCATTAACTTTGGCTAAGTAAGAGATGGGTTCATCTTTCTGGTAGTGGTCCTGGAAACCCACAGCATGGGCAGGTGCTCTGGTCTGCCGCTGCAGTTCATAGGAGGGAGGCTTGAGAGGTTTCCCATACTTGGGTTTCACCAGGGGAAGGAGATGGCCTCCTGTTTCGTGGGGCTTGGCTGGTTCCACACTCAGTTTGTTTGGGGGATACGAGGGGGCTTTATTTACGCTGAGTGAGTTGTTACTGTTGGTCAGGGAGGGCATTTCCACACACCTCATGCTCTCGGGTGAAAGGACCCTTGGCAATGATTGTGATTTCCCCTTGTTGCGGGTGCTCAGTACATTGTCTCCCAGAGTCAGTGAATACAGCTCTTGAAGCAGCTTCTCCCTGTCACCCTCAGACATTTGTCTCCCTACCTTTTTTGGCTGGTTCCAGCTTTCCATTCCCATACTTTGCCATCTGCAGTCACTGGGCACTTCACAGCTCTCCTGCAAGCCACGTCTTCTGCTGTGCCCTGAACCTGTGCCCACCTTCAGCTGACTCTCCTTGGGGTGCTGGGGTGCCCCCGGGGCTGCAGCCAGGCCTTTCATTTCCACACCGGCTTTCTGGGAATAGCTCAGGAGCACACTGAAGTCCTGTCCTCGTCTTCTCCAGTAGGCAAGATCTTTATCAGTCTTGGGCTGGGAAGACCGTGCTAATTGAGGCCTGTCATACACCCTGAAAAAGAAACAGTGTCACAGGCCGTTTGCACAGATGCCCGCCTTTTCTTTTATGAGTAAAGCACATTAGGAGGTCAAATGTGGAGTTATGCCAATGGGGTTTGTGTAATCTATTTGCAATCAGATGATATTATGACTTTAATGAGAGGATTTAAAAGTCAGTCATTAATGCGAGTAAAGGAAGGGACCAATGCTCTGCTGGCACATTGTTAGCTATGCAAAAAGCCGTTAGAGAGAGAAACAAATGCACACAGTTACATGCTGTGCAAGCATGCACAGCCCTCCTCAATGGACACCATAAAACCAGAAATGATTGTGCGAAACTTATTTCTGCACTCTGCTACATCAAAATCTATAGATGTCAAGGGGACTACTGTGATACACAAGTTTAACAGTAATCCAAAAAGCAGAGGTAAGTAGAGCAGATAGAGGGCTATTTCATAAGATATATTCTGTAAGAAACACGATTTGCATCCTACTGCAAGAACTGAAATTTTACATGTTGTTTCCAGTGTTGTTTCTTTTCATTTTTCCAAGGGAATAAATTCCTTCAAAATACTTTGGATTAAATGACACATGCCACAACAACGGTGATGCATCAGCACAATTCTGATTAAGGGGGAACCAATATTTAAAATCTAAAATACCTCAAAAGAAGTATAAATTTCCCATATAAAAGAGGGATTAACTCCAGCAATCCATTCCTTTCCAACCCTAACGATTCTGTGATTACTGAAATATGAAAGACATGAGTCATTTTACTATGGATTAAAAATCCAGAACACAGATTTACATGAACAGAATAAGCTCTTTGTGTGTTCTGAATGGTGTAAACTGTTTTACATATTACTGTGGAACAAAACTGGTACCCTTCTATATAAATAATTAATTCATCTTCTACTTGAACTGTGTTCTCTATTCTTGTACCTGAGGTGTCCAACAATATAACTGCCTTTACACTCTGTGGTTGCCACCAGCATAAGAGTGGAAAGAAAAATCAAAATTGACAGAAATAGGACAAGTATGTAGATAGAACCCAAGAATTTCTTTCTCTTCCCTCCACCCCAAGGTATATAAACAGTCATCTGGCTCTTTTTTACTAAAAAAAACCTCATCTATTTAAATAGTAGTTTGTAAAAACTTAATACAACTCAAAATTTAGAATGAAAATTAAGCAATCCAAACCCACAGCAATTTTCTTTTGTGTATATTAACTTCATCCATGACTATAAAAGTTTAAAAACCAAACTGGGATAACGAGCATCTTGTTCATATTAATTCAACTGGATTAAGACTTAACATCTGAACAAAATGTTCTGCTGCTAAAGCGCAAAGTACAGTTCAATTGCTGAACCTCAGGAAGTAACAGACATAGAATCATAGAATCAACCAGGTTGGAAAATACCTTCAAGATCATCAAGTCATCTTCATTAATCAGTGAGATATAACAGAATACCTGCTACATTGGAAACTTGATTGCAGGGACAACAAACATTTCTGTGCCCCTCTGCATGTGGAGACACTGACTTGAACAAATGCTGCCACCTTTTGAGATTATCAGATCTACCTATTCATCTCATCCCCACATTGCTATGGCACCATCTGTATGTGCGTTTACAAAACAAGGTGACAAACAGTGTCTAGCACTAGCGAGGAGGGAATGGAGAGATTGCTCCTTCTGTTTGATTTTATCCATTATTTTAAAAGGGTCTGCAGAAATTGCAGAAAGTACAGAGTCATAGATTCCAAGATCAGAAGAGACTGTTATGATTATTTAGTTTGACATCTTGCCCAACACAGACCATCAGACTTCCCTAAAATGATTCCTGCTTCAGTGGTAGCATGTCTTTCAGAAAAGCATCTACAAATCTTGATCTTTATATTTCCAGAGATGATGTTGCAAAGCTTAATTCACCATCAAAAATATCAAAGCAAACCCAAATTCTTATTAACCTAAATATAAAAACATCCAGGGAAGGAGGTAAGGTAGACAATAATATTGAGATATGCAACAATTTCAACTAACAGCATGGGAACGGAATGGGCTACCTGTTTAAAGGATTTAATAGGAAATCAGGAAAGGGAAGGAAGCATTACTCGACTCTTTCCTAGGAAACCACCAAAACAGAAGAGTTTTAGTTAGTTTGCTTTTTTAAAAAACAAACAAAATCCAAGCTCAGTCATTTATTAAAGTAAATTAGCCCAAGTTAGGACAGCTTCAGTTACAGAAAGGTTGTGTCTCCATTTATTAAAAGCTGTTTAAAAGATTAAATTTATTTTTAAAGATTAAAATATTAATAACTAGGCTCCAGTAATTAATTTTGGAACATGATACAAACCACCACATAACATGTACCATGTCATCATTGCAACATGAGTGCAGAAAAGATATTTAAAAGGAGGTATTCAGAGCATTTTAAGCCTGATCTTTTCTATGATCTATTCACAAGATGGACAATATCAGTCTCTCCAGCTCCTGGCTCAGGTGCTAGAAGTGGTTACAGCCAGCCTGTATTGTAGGCAGCATAAACCTCTGGAGAGCAAGGCACTGCACTGTGCAGTGGAAAGGGGATGCTCCACAGCCTTCCAAAGGACACTCCTGCTTAGCTCCAGCCTGAAGGCTCCTCTCCTTCCAAGGACGGAAAACAACTCCTGCACATGTGCACACTGCAGGTATGGCAGTGGGGCAGCACTGCACAACCGCACTGCTTACGGCCACTACTGCAGCAGAGTGCCTCCTTCTGGGATAGATGACACTTTCGGGTCTTGGGTCAATGAAGTGGTGGGAAGAAGAATCCAAGGGGCACCCCAAGTTCAAAATGCTCCACTACAGCCTCATCAATGCTACATTTTTAGATGGCAAACACCAGTCATGCTGCAGTCTTCATGTCCAGGACATATTATCAATGAAAAGATCCCAGAGCTCCTCTTAGCAGTAGCTAGTCTCTGATTATGCTACTACAGAATTCTGTGTCACCCCATGATGTGCCAGTACTGATGCACAAACAAATGCACACCTGGACACAGCTGCTTGCAACTGCTTCACAGCTGTGAGGGGTGCCAAGGAGGGAGCGGTCCCATGGGACCAACCAGGAAGATGTAAGTGCCAGTGACAGAGAGGTCCCATGGGACCAAGGAGGTAGATTTTAACATCAACAACTGTTTTCTAACAGGCCTGCTTCTAACGAATATCAAGTTTGCTATCATGAAATGCTGTAAACTGAATCTGTATCTAATGAAAACTGCTGAAAATAACTCCCCAAACTATTGCTAGCTTTCTATGAACTTTAGGTCTTTGCAAGAAATGAGGCCATCAGTCCACCCTGCACTATCTGCACTACCTGTATTTCACCAAGCTGCCATACTCAGAGCAATGGGTGGAAGCTGCCCAGTTCCCCTAGGGTGACTGACCAGCAGGACCTCACATGATGCACATAATGCGGCTAGAAGTGAAGGAGTATGGCACAGGCTTCAAGTCAAAACCCTGCAGAATGAGGCCACTGTAGGGCTTTTGAGGGAGTTTTTGTCCCTGTTTTTGGCTTCCTGTATGCAAATAGTAGGCAGTAGGCCCCCAGTAACCCATGGTGCCTGAGCTGCTTTGTACCCAACCAAGAGGCACTGTTCAGAAATTTCCAGGATTTGGCATCAAGGGGAAAACTTTTCAGAGGGCTGCTTTGGACACTGGCAGCTTCTGTTCTGGTTTGGGAGCCTATCCTCACATCAAATTTACCAAGCCCTAGCATTGGGAAACACCAGCACACTTTTCTAATTTTTCCAGCAGGTGATCTCATTAATGATGTCTATTTCTGCCTAAATTTGCTAGTTACCAACATAGTTTCTCCCACACAAACAGCTGAGAAAAGTGCCTTTTCTCTCCACTCAGAAGAGAAGCAGGAGAGAGTTCTATGAACCCTGTCATGTCTACCAATAGGGTCAGCTTTCCCATCTTTTTTGCCTCGTCTCCTTTCCCAAACCTTTACTGTGAGACCTCCTCATGCTCAGTTAAGGACAGTGAGGACAGCCCTCCCATCATCCGCTTCACTTTGCCTGAGGAACAACGGGACGGAGCAAAACATTACTTCTCAGCTCCACCAGGGTGCCAGGCAGCAGCAGCGGGCGGTGTGATGTGCCCACATGCAGTTGCTATGAAGCCTGTCTCCTCCTCCTCCTCCTCTGCAAAGTTTCATCAGCATAACCACCACAATGAGTGGAGACAACAGCATCATCTCCTGCCATCATGAAACACCCTGAGCCCTGCAAACCTGTCTGCGTAGGCAGCAACGAGGTGGGCAATGTCACTCCCTTCTGTGGTGCTTGGAAGGTGATTAGCTCTTCTATATCAGTGAGTGGTATGGGCAAGAGTACGGTGTAGATAATTCCCTGGCTGAGGAGCCCGAGTGATGCTCCAGATTGCCATGGAGCTGGGTCAAGGTCTGTGAAGGCAATTGGGACACACTCTGCCTCTTCTGGGCTTTTCCTGCTGTGGTGCAGCACTGGGAAGGCAGTGCCAGGAAACTGCTGCAGGAAGCCTGCAGTGCCCGAAGAGCAGTGTCTTCATGCTGGATCTTTCTGGGTGGTTGTCACCTCTTCAGGCCTAAATGGCTCCCAGATCTCTGCAGCGTGCAGTTCTTTCCCAGCCTGAGAACCAGGAATCTATTTCCTACGACAGCACAGAAACCAGACAGTGGGAGAGATCAAAATCCCCAGTGGAATTCACCATGGCCTACCTGTAAAAGGCCAAAACATTCCAGAGTGGGTCCCCTTCCCTTCAGTTTCAAAACAGCTCACACCTGCATGGCAGCCCTGTGCCTCAGATGTGCCTGAGGGTCAGGAAGGGGCCTGTCACCCTGGCTGGAGCTCGGCAATTGAAACACGGGTGCTGCAGCACTGAAGCTGCAGCCAGCTTTCCTGGATCTCTCCCAGAGGGCTCGCTCCTCCCTTCCTGTACCAGCAGCGCAGTGGCATGCTCTGCACCAGAGGTACTCTGCACACCCAGGGGTGGCAAGAAAGGCACGGCTCAGACAAAGGTTTTCCCTTGCTCATAGCTGCTAGTGCCTTGTAAGAGTTCCCAATAGGCTCTCTGGGAATCGGAGTTTGCTGTGACAATAAGAAAAGAGTTCTATCTTTATGAAGGTGTGACACAGCCACTTCCAAGGCTGTGTTCCCTATATAATGTGGAAAAGACATTTTAAAAAAACAGACTATAGTATTTAACTACGCTGCAGACTGACAGGTTCCACTCCTTGCATTTTGAGTCTTAGAGACGTTTAAATTGTCAGATTGCATTATTTTGTATTTAGCCATCATGAGCAGTTACAGATACCTCTGCCATGTCTGAAACACGGGGCAGATACGTGATCCCCCAGAGATGCACTCGGAGAAGAGGGATTCAGGGAGGCAGCAGTCCTCCCTTGCCACCATGCACCCACACAGGCTCTACCTTACAGGGTGTGGGAGCAGCAGCACGGGAGTAGCTTCCAGCCTTGTACAGCCATATATCTTCTTCACACCAGTTTTTCTCCATACTGTAAACTCGGTTCCAAGGCCAAGCACCACCCCTCCTTGGCCCCCCTGTGCACCCTCTTCCCCTGCTTCAATACCTTTTCCCCTCTCATTCTTTCTCACTGTCTTCCCTCACTTTATTGCTGTCCAGCTTACTTTACCCATAACACACCATGAAGAATCCTCCTCATTACCTTTAAACCTGTGTCCTCTCCTTCCTTCTGCAGAAGGGCTGGTTCCACCTGGGGACTTTCATCACGGCTGGGATGTGCTGCCCTAGGACTGCTTTGCAGAGCTCACATCTCTTCCTGCCCATTATCCTAGCTGGCAGCCAGGAGCCATTTCTGCTCCAGGCAAGCAGAGTTGCAAGCAGAAGAGACATGAGGGACAAGCCCAGCAGTCAGGGCCCACATGCCTTTGCCACATGAAGGTCTTCCTAAGAGGACAACCTCCCAAGGCAACAGCGTTTTGCCCTGCTTTCAGTTTCAGGCCCACTGGGCAGGAGGAAGGGGCTTTTCCTTGTAAACTATCGTCACACGTGGGCTGGCTTCCAGTCCTGCTCTAGCCCCTTTCCTTTGTTCATCTGCAGCACTCAAATAGCTGCAGAACAATGGCCAAGCAGCGGTGTGTACACACAGCTCTTCCTGCCCAGCCTGCCCCAGCCCCAGCACGCACGTACTCCGTGTTAAGCAAGCCACGGTTGTACAAGCACATTTTATGGAGTGACGACAAGAGCTTCCACTGGCTTGGAGTGGTTTTAAAAAGAAATTCACAGGCACCTTCTCATGTTTACTCCACGAGAGCAGGCTTAAAAAACCAAGAAAGTCCTTGGTGCATTTAGGCACACCCTAATGTGTTCAGCACGTGGCTAAATCCACAGCAAAAATCAGGGTGTGTATATGGCAGAAGAAGAAGCTTCAGTTTTTTAAAACTAAAGGAAGAGCTTTTGCCTCCCTCCTTTTTTTTCACTGTACTTGGACTGAGCTTTTCTAAACCCATCAGAAAGGCCTTTCTAATATAGACCACATCAGTAAATTAAATATTCCACTTCCCCTCACCCCAATATTCTCAAAGGCCTACCTCTAAGCAGAAGATGAATGGATGTGCCACTGCTTCGTGTGGACTTGCACTGCATGGAAATGGTCACCAGTATGGGAGCAGAAAAGGAGTACAGGAAGGCGGTGTCAGAGGTTAGGGTCATGCTTAGTTAACTGTCAGCACCAAAAGGAAGAGAAAGCAAAGCCATGGCATGATGCTGAAACTTACCCCCCTTCTGAAGTATGAAAAGTGGACAAACCCTGAAGGTCATGGTGGTAACCAGGACCTGCTTGCCTCCCTTGGCTCCCATGGCTGCTTTCAGTGCCGCTTGAGTTGGTTTTCACCAGAGGTTTCTTGCTGTAAGCCCCAGCTCTTGATTCTGCCTCAAATCCATTCAGCGTTCTCTGAGCAGATCTGTTCCTTGTGATTTCCTGCCGGTATCCATCATACCTGTTCTCATATGAAACAGGGGGATTTTTTGACAGCTTGTATCCATGAGAAATAAGGAGGTCCTCGACACTGAACATGTTGTGCTGGTTTCACTCACAGCTGTGCCATCAAAAAGCTCTTTCCAGAAGGATCCATCACTGGAAAACAAAACCATAAACAAACAGAAGGTTGCTTTAAACAAGGAAAGATATCTTTGATCAGCTGATAGGCTACTGAAGCTGAAAGTCTCATTCTCTGGCTTCAGTGTTCTTCAGCATCAAACAGATGAAGCAAAGTGCATGCAGATTCTGACAAATCATGTGCCGACCTTCCCTAGGCAATACACCTCCATGCAGTCAGCCCAGCAGCAGATGCTGCACTGCTGCTGACTCAGCCTGTTCCACTGAAGAATTCACTGGTGATTGCAGCTTTCAGATGTCACTAAGTGATCTCATAAAACCACTTTGCACCGGAGGTAAGCTCACACTTTCTGTAAAAAACAATTTTTTTCTAGTCATGGAGAGGTGTATTCTGTATTACATTTGGAGTTGCTGCAGGAGGGGGTGGATTACAAGGCAGCATGCCTCTCCCTACAGCTCTGCATATTCTATTAAGAAAAAAATGTTCACATGAACAAGGACAAAATATGCATGAGAACAAAAATTAATTTTATGCAACCACATGAGAAACCCAGGTAATATCATGCATACCCCAGCTAAACAGTCTGGTTTTACAGATTACTTTGTTTTCAGCCTCTTGGTCTCCTGGAAGGAGTAATCCTCCAGAGTAATAAGGAGTAATCAGTAATCCTCAACTAGAATAATACAAACCCTAAGACTTCAAGCACAGTCTATTTTTACAACACAACTGCACTGTGTAAAATGATTGGCAACAACCTGAGATGATCGTGTCTGTTGTGTCTCAATGACTTCCAAGTCATGGGACAGTCATGACTTCTCTTCCTGGTCAGCGGGGCTGACCTCAATTCTGCACTGCTAGAGCAAAGATCCAGTAAACTCAGTTAGTTGGCTGGCAACAATCTTTATTTTCTAAATCACTCTCACATCTTTATGGAATTATGGCAACTATAGAATACCCATTCTCCCAGAGTTTCAAAATCCTTGAAAGATAATGATCTATTCTGTAGGTTGTGTGTAATGATGGACCCATTCTGATACATTCCTCCGTGCTTGGGCTGTATTACTAGAATCATAGAATCATAGAATCGTTAGGGTTCAAAAGGACCTTAAGATCATCTAGTTCCAACCCCTCTACCATGGGCAGGGACACCTTATGCTAAATCATATCACTCAAGGCTCTGTCCAACCTGGTCTTGAACACTGTCAGGGATGGAGCATTCACAACCTCCCTGGGGAACCCATTCCAGTCCCTCACTACCCTAACAGGAAAAAATTTCCTCCTTATATCCAATCTAAACTTCCCCTGTTTAAGTTTTAACCCGTTACCCCTTGTCCTATCACTACAGTTTCTAATGAAGAGTCCCTCTCCAGCATCCCTATAGGCCCCCTTCAGATATTGAAAGGCTGCTATGAGGTCTCCACACAGCCTTCTCTTCTCCAGGATGAACAGCCCCAACTTCCTCAGCCTCTCTTCATACGGGAGGTGCTCCAGTCCCCTGATCATCCTCGTGGCCCTTCTCTGGACTTGTTCCAACTGTCTCATGTCCTTTTTATGCTGAGGACACCAGAACTGCACACAATACTCCAGGTGAGGTCTCACAAGAGCAGAGTAGAGGGGCAGGATCACCTCCTTCAACCTGCTGGTCATGCTCCTTTTGATGCAGCCCAGGATACGGTTGCCCTTCTGGGCTGTGCGCGCACACTGAAGCCGGCTCATGTTCATTTTCTCATCAAACAACACCCCCAAGTCCTTCTCCGCAGCGTTGCTCTGAATCTCTTCTCTGCCCAACCTGTAGCTGTGCCTGGGATTGCTCCGACCCAGGTGTAGGACCTTGCACTTGGCATGGTTAAACTTCATGAGGTTGGCATCAGCCCACCTCATAAGCGTGTCAAGGTCCCTCTGGATGGCATTCCTTCCCTCCAGGGTATCAACCGAACCACTCAGCTTGCTGTCATCGGCAAACCTGCTGAGGGCGCACTCAATCCCACTGTCCATGTCAGTGACAAAGATGTTGAACCAAGACCGGTCCCAACACCGATCCCCGAGGGACACCACTCGTTACTGGTCTCCAGCTGGACATTGAGCCATTGACCACAACTCTTTGCATGCGGCCAGCCAGCCAGTTCTTCATCCACCAAGTGGTCCATCCGTCAAACTGATGTCACTCCAATTTAGAGACAAAGATGTTGTGTGGGACAGTGTCGAACGCCTTACACAACTCCAGGTAGATGACATCAGCTGCTCTACCCCTGTCCATCAGTTCTGTAGCCCCATCATAGAAGGCCACCAAGTTGGTCAGGCAGGATTTCCCCTTAGTGAAGCCATGCTGGCTGTCACCAAGCACCTTGTTGTTTTTCATGTGCCTTAGCATGCCTTCCAGGAGAATCTGCTCCAAGATTTTGCCAGGCACAGAGGTGAGACTGACTGCTCTGTAGTTCCCTGGGCCATCCATTTTCTCCTTCTTGAAAATGGGGGTTATATTTTCCCTTTTCCCACTCATCGGGAACTTCACCTGACTGCCATGATTTCTCAAATATGATGGCCAGCGGCTTCGCAACTTCATTTGCCAGCTCCTTTGGGACCCGCGGATGGATCTCATCAGGACCCACGGACTTGTGCACGTTCAGATTTTTAAGATGGTCTCGAACCAGTTCCTCTCCTACAGTGGGCCCAAGGTCTTCATTCTCACAGTCCCTGCATCTGCCTTCCAAGACTTGGGTGGTTTGATCAGATCCTTTGCCAGTGAAGACTGAGGCAAAGAAGTCATTCAGAACCTCAGCCTTCTCCAAATCCTGTGTAGCCAGTTCTCCTGAGAGCTTCCTGAGGGGGCCTACATTGTCCCTAGTCTGTTTTTTATTTGCTATGTACTTGTAGAATCCCTTCCTGTTATCTTTAATACCTCTAGCTAAGTTTAATTCTAACTGGGCCTTAGCTTTCCTAACCTGGTCCCTAGCTTCCCGGACAACATCCCTGTACTCTTCCCATGCCACCTGTCCTTGCTTCCACTTATTATAAGCCTCTTTTTTCATTTGAATTTTCCTCAGCAGCTCCTTATCCATCCAAGGAGGTCTCCTGGCCCTCCTGCTGCACTTCCTTCTGGTTGGGATGCAAAGAAGAAAGAAATTAAAACAAAAGGTGGATAAAGAAGTGAAACACACAGAAATAGATCAGTTATGTAAAACAGTTAAGATGATCTTCCCCACACGAAGAGTTCATTTAACATGCCTGGTGAGTACTCTGTGTCCTTAGAAGTAGTAGGTCTACCTGAGGACCAGGAGCCCAGCATCGTCAGCTAGTCAAAACGAGATAGTCTCTGCAAAGATCCTGACAAACAAGTACTTTATACACTGGTTTCTAATGTTCTTCATGGGCAAGAAGAAAGAACTCTGTTCACTGATGTTTACAATTATTTACTTGAGATGAAGCAACTACTGATTTGGCTCCTGTGCATTTATTAGTACTAAAACTCTCAAGCTACGTACACACAGAAGTTGATTGGATGGCTTAGAATGTAAACCAGCTTCTGTGGTGCAGCACTCCATATATTATGGCCACTTTTTGCCTACCCAGCACCCCAACCATTTTCTGCTCCCGCCCTGTCTCCAGGATGCTCTGCAGACTGTGGAGCCGGTCCAGCCAGCCACTCTGGTCCAGCCTGGTATGCAGCTCCTAGGCACACTGGGACACTCTAGCCGCCTCTGCCCTGCACTGCCCACAGCACTTGCCTGAGGAGAGCCCACAGCATGGAAAAACATGCACAGTTTTTATGCAGAGCCACAGTTTAACTGGGAACCTGGAACGCTGCAGAAGTGGCTTTTCAGCTTGAGAGCCTTAAACTGGTTTGTCTCTAGAGCTTTATGAATCTTCTCCCTTTTCACACACGTAACAACTACACACCTTTTAAAAAAAGAGATTATTTGTTTATTTAAAGCTCTATGCTGAAGATATTTTAGGAGTATCCCTTGCTAGAACAGGATTCCAAATGCCTAATAAGCGTTCTGAGTAAGCGAGCCAGCAGTAAGTAAAAGCAGGCAGAAAGCAGAGAGGAGCAGGACACTTCCCTCTTGGAAGAAAGGAAAAGCTCCGTGCGTTATTTTTGAATGCTGACATAAAAGGCTGATTTTCCATCCACTTGCTGCCCTGGACTGTGATAGGAGCCAGGTTCGAGCAGACCAAGGGGAACAGCTGGCTGCTAGAGCTGTTCAGCTTCTAACAAGAGAAAGATCCAATGTGACCACCATAAACAGCAGAAAACAGAGTACTTGCAGGTGCAAGGAAGAAATGTGCTTTTCCTGCTATTATTGTCAGACTGGCTTGGAGCACAGCTTAACCCCCTCTCTCTGCCTCCCACTGTAGTCATGGTGCCATCAGAGAGGCAAAAGCAAGTGGATAAGTAACCTCCAGCCTGTGGGGTTTACTCTGAACCTCCGCTTGGTATTGGTAGTGAGGTGCAATGGTGTGGAAATGCACCATGAGGAGCCAGTGCGACTGTCTCTTCCTGCTCTGCAAATTTACCATGTGTGGAAGGGAAAGCCCTGTGGTGCTATGGGTGGTGGGAAG